CCGGGGAGGGCTGGGCTGGCCAGTCCTGTCACACTCAGACCACCCGTCCGGTCGCCCCGAGGACTCCGCCCAGCTTTCCCAGTGACGGAGGGAAAGGTCCTGGAGCTTTAAGAGAGGGGCAGGTATTTTCCTTCACAAGTTCAGGCACTTCGGGGAAAGACCTCTACCTCATCCTTTCCTTTGATTAGAAGGACGTCAGTACCAAGAGACAGACAAGGGAGAGAGAAAACCATCCATCGTCACCGCGACAGAAATACCCAGACCCACCCGAGCCAGACCAAGCCACTCGTTCTGCACTTTATTTTAAATATTCCTTAACCATATTAAGATCGAATCATCGTACAATTCTAGTAATCAGCAGACACAGAGCTTGAAAATTCAGAGAGAAATATTTAATCTGTTTGAGATGGAAAACAATTTGGTAGTCACTATTTTCCACATTTAATGATTCAACACAAACCAGTAGGTTATTCTTGGAAGATAGCAGTTCTATAGTGCTCAAGATCTAAGGTTTTTTGGTTTGGCTGGTTGGTTTTTGAGGTTTTTCCTGGATTTTCCTAGACCTAGAGGTCTCTAGTTAGATCTTTTATCCTCTTGGTTCCTCAGTATTCTCATATATAGAAATAAGGTCATTCTTATTACCTTCCAGATTTGCTCAGCAAATATGTGCACACTTCAAAAAGTTTGTGGGGAAAAAAATGGGATTCCAGTATAAGTTGGTTTTGATGCAAAGATATTTAAAAATGCATCCGTAATTTTTTCATACTATGCATTTCCATAAACTTTCTGAAGATCCCTAAATGATGATGGATGTGGGTGTCAGTAGAACGGGAAATGCCATACCAATATGCTTAACAAATACTAGCTTTGTAAGGACTAACCTCGTGAGGACTGGAGTGAGGCATGACTGGTAAAAATAAATATGGAAGCCAGCCCTGTGGCCTGCTATTTAAGGGAAGCAGATTCCTCATGGCTGACCACCATTCAAATCCTGGATCTAGCGACTTGTAAAACATGCTGGGCCCAGGTGCATGGGTGCCAAAAATCTCAACAGGATGAAGAAGAGATTGTAGTGTTCCTTCACCCCTTTGAGGCATGCTTTCTCCCTCTCCCTCAGTTTGTCCCTCTCTGGTGAGCACACATGCTCTCTGGCAACTTAACAACAACAACAAAAAGATAAGCATTTCCTTCCTCAAGGAACTAAGAGCCAACAGGGACACATACATATGTCAATATATTAAGACAGAAAATTCATTTTTGGACAGAGGATAAAAACAAGAATTTAAAAGAAAGGGAGAGTTTATTTCTGGCTTAAAGAAAATTAAGCTATGGAAGCTTCATGAAGAAGTACTGATCAGGACATAGAGGAAGTGACCATGTTGAGGGAAGAGTGGGAAGAGGAAGTGACATTCCGGGAAGAGGGAACAGGCTGGGTAAAGGCACAGAAGAGGTGATAGGAAGTTTCGGAGTCTGAACTCTGCATGGTTAAGCTAAGATGCAGAGGCTTAGACTGAACCATGGATCACCCCTTTACTTACAGGGGTGAGAGAAAAGGAGAGACAGAGGAGGAGTGTGAGAGAGAAGGAGAACGGAGAACATTGCATGACAGAAGGCAACTGCAGAATTTCAAAAGGGCAAGGGATAGAATCCCGCAGAAGGGTTGGAGGGTGTGCTGAACACCTGCTGTCCCAGCATATATTCTTGTCCTTATTCTCGTAACAGCCACTGGAGTGTCTTTGGGGGAGTGCTATGGTTTGAATTTCCCACCCAAACTGCATGTGCTGGGATGGATTTACAATAGAATCAAATGGTTTAAAACTTAACTGGACTATGGTGTTGCAAGGCAGGGCCTTTGGAAAGAGATGAGGATTGAGGTCATTAAGGTGAAGACCCCAGAATTGACCTGATTGGTGGGCTTATATGGTCAGGGAATATGACCAGGATGGAGACACACCAACATAGATATGCATGCTTCTTTCCCCCACCATGCTGTGATGCAGCTGGAAGGCCCTCACCAGATGTGTTCCCTGGACCTTGGACCTCCAAGCATAAGCTGTGTAAACATTTATTTTTTTAAGTTATTGTATTATTTTTTAATTTGCTATAGGGCACATGCAAAAGAGAGGGAGAGAAGGGAAGAAAGCAAGCCATCAGGTCTGGGACTTGAACCACGGGTTGACCATGTGGGAGTCAAGCACCTTAACCACCACTCCACCTGCTTGCCCCAAACACCTATTTTTTAAATAAATTATCTAGCTTTCGGCATTTTCTGTTATTAGCAAGAGAATGGGCTTGATCAGTGAGAAATCTTCCACCTGTACTCTCAGAACACTTGCCCCGGCAGGACCGTGTTGGTCGTCTGGCTCTGGGATCAAGCTGCTCACCCAGCCTCAGCCAGTCCCACCAAGGCATCCTCACAGCCACAGTAATAGACATATGCCCTTTCAGGAGGGCACATTCTCTGCCCAGGCTAATCGTGCCCGGTGCAGCAGATCCCAAGACCTTCATTAGATTAAGAAGAGGCTTTTTCTTTCCTGTTGAACTTGACTTCAGGGAGGTTGTAAACAAGAGGCTTCTGGGACTCATTTAGACAGCACAGGGAAACAGCTCTCTCTGAACAGAGCCGATACAGAATCAAAAGGACAAAGCGGCTGAGATCTCATGACATTGTTTAAAACCAAAATCCTACCTAAACCCCCTCCCCTAGAAGTTGCACTTTTTGTTTAAGCTGGTTGCCTTTGGGTCTTCTGTCACTTGCAACAGTCAACTGGCAGACACCAGAAAGATCCCTTCTTTAGTTTTGGAGACAAGGTGGTCCCACATGACCTCAGAAATGGCATTTTCCATAGTGGAATGCCCGGTGTTATTGTCAAATTTCTTCCAGCCTCAGATTACAAAACGGCAAAATGATTAAAAATTAGAAAGCATCAATAATTTAAAGTCCCATAGATTTGGCTGTCAAGCTAGGAATAAGAAACCCAAGGAGGTTATGCAATGATTGTCAAAGGACCTTTGTGTAAAGGTGAAAGGGGTAATTATAAACATAATGAAACTCCTACAAGCTGTACAAATATGCATCACCCTGGCAAAATAATATTGGATGTCAGTGCAGCTGTGACACCCTTTCTAAAACTGCCCAGATTAATGATTCCAGAGGTGTCTTTATCTTAGACCCTTTACATCATGAAATGCCCTGCAACACAAAACAAAACGAACTTCCCACATTTAATTAACTCAAACTTTTATCAGGAAAGAGAACTGAGAGAATGCCACTGACGCAGAAGGATACGGCTCGCTGAGGTTCGCTGATGGCGAGGGGAGAGACAGAAGGGGGAGAAAAAGGAGAAATGAGCTCACAGAATGGCAGAGGCGTTCCCTCTTTCTTTTTTTTTAAATTGTATTTCACTTTATTTATTCATTTATTTTAATTTGACCAGAGAAGGACAGAACAAGTGAGCGAGAGAAAGAGAGGGAAAGTGAGAAAGCAAGCTGCCAGGTCTAGGACTCGAACCATGGTCAGCCATGTGGGAGTCCAACGTCCTTGACCACCATGCCACCTGCCGGTCCCATAGCCATCAGCCCCACACACCAGCCTGTGGGGCAAGAGACTGAGCCAGGACTCTCATGCTCCGAGAGGAAAGCGTGTCCTCAGTACATCCCCACCTCCCTTTTCTTTGCCCCACTCAGCTCTCTCCTTACCAGACCCCCAGAGCCCTTCATGGGCTACAAGTGAGTACTGTGGGACGTGTTGTTGTCCCTGGGAGGATGGTGGGACGCAGGACTCCACTGCTTTGCATTCTTCTTGTTGGAGAAGAATCAATTTGATTGACTAACATATCGAGGTATGTCTGGAACACATGAATCCTCAGAGGAGTAATTTTCAAGGGCCATTTTTAAAGGAGGAGGATGAAACTTGTTGATGCTTAACCCCTGTAAAAACACACCTGCTTTGGGCTTTGTGTATGCCCAAAATCCCAAAAAGAGAAGAAGAGGGAGACGGGATTGCAGCATGACATGCCCAGTGGGGAGTGCTTTCTTACTCTCTTTCTCTCCTTCCCTCTCTCTCATTCTCTCCAGCAAGTCTACATGCCTTCAGGCAAAATTTTAAATAAATAAACAAAGAGAAAAAAAAACCCACGAGTTTTGAAATATAGTAAAAGTAATTTGGCAGGAAGAGCTTCCTGTCTAACCTAATGGGCTACAGGGACAGAAAAGCTGGGGGAGAAAGCAGGTAACTTCCTTCACTGAGTGGTTCATTTTCAGGGGAAACAAACCCACCAGGTCCAGATGTAGCTCAGTCCTCAGCTATCCCGGAGGTGCGAATGCATTTTCTTGTGTTTTCTGTTCTCCTGATATCCCCTGTCCCCACACGCACTCCTACTATAGGTCGCTGTGGGGCAGGAGAGGATTTCAGGCTATTGTTTCCACCCCATGGAATAGCTCTCAGTGAGGCAGAGGCAAGGCATAGTGAGGGGTGTGAGCGAACCTGAGCAGGAAGCTAGGCCCCACAAGACAGCACACCTGAGCCAGGGTTCGTGGACACTCCAGCCACCTGGTCTGCCCTGGGATAGAACCCTGGCGGGGTCAGGAGTATGTACCTGCGTCAGCGATGGAAGAGGGCAGTGGGGAAAGAGGCAGCATGGAAGGGCTGGAAGAAAATGAAGGAGGAATTGAAATTAAGAGTCTAATCTCAGGTCTGATGCCAACTTCTGCTATCAGCTTAGGTGGGTCACTTCCTCTCAGGGTCTCGGTCTCCTCAACTGAAAAAAGAGGTCAACAAGAGCTAGGAGATCCACCCTTCACACTTCTCCA